CTGGGTAGAGTGCTGTAGCATCACAGCTCACAGCAACCTCCAACTCCTGGGCTCAAGCAATTCTCCTGCCTCAGCCTCCCAAGTAGCTGGGACCACAGGAGCCTGCCACAATGCCTGGGTATTTTTTGGTTGCAGCCATCAATGTTGTTTTTGGCGGCCCGGGCTGGGGATTCGAACCTGCCACCTTAGGTCTATGTGGCTGGCACCTTAGCTGCTTGAGCCACAGGCACTGAGCCCATCTGTTTAATCTTATTTGATTACTAAGCAAATGCTGACTTCCTTTTTTTTTTTTGTGGCCGCGGCCGGGTTTGAACCCACCACCTCCAGCGTATAGGGCTGGCGCCCTACTCCTTGAGCCACAGGCACCGCCCTGACTTCCTTCTTAATCAACTCGAAGGCAGTCCCAAGGTAATTCTCATGTGTAGACCCATTTATCAGGACTCCATTACATCCTAAGAAAGTCATCAATGTGGAATTGCTCGAAGCTGTGCAGTAAATGCCTGTAAAATAAAAATGAATTGACAGTGGTACAAATTACTTCACATGAAAAAAAGCTGGTGGTCAAGACACAATTATAAGAGAGACTTTACCTAACAAATGCAATCAGTGTAACCTGGTTTCTTGTACCCTCAATGAATCCCCAATAATAATAATAAAAAAAAAAAAATCAGCGGTGCCTGTAGCTCAATGGGTAGGGCGCCAGCCAGATACACTGAGGCTGGCAGATTCAAACCCAGCCTGGGCCAGCTAAAATCAACAATGACAACTGCAATAAAAAAAAAAATAGCCAGGCGCTGTGGCAGGGGCCTGTAGTCCCAGCTACTTGGGAGGCTGAGGCAAGAGAATCGCTTAAGCCCAAGAGTTTGAAGGTTGCTGTAAGCTATGATGCAACAGCACTCTACCGAGGGCAACAACTTAGGACACTGTCTCAAAAAAATTACAACTGAAAGATAGAACTAAAGTTGTTCCAACATTAAAAAAAAAAAAGCTGGAGGTTCTATGACCAAAGGTATAGTTTCTTTTTTTTTTTAAATAAAGACTAGTTATAGGCTTGGTGCCTGTGGCTCAAGCGGCTAAGGCGCCAGCCACATACACCTAAGGTGGCGGGTTCGAATCCCCAGCCCGGGCC